TTACGCGGCTAGATATATTACTATGCCACGCAGGTGGATTTCGTTAAGCAGGCCAGACAAACGGAATATTAATCGGAAATACGTGCTTCCGTCCGGCATCACAAGGTGCGCCTCGTGCTATCGCGTTTAACGGCCTCTACTAATAAATCTCATTTCCTCTCGGTACGAATTGACGAATGGATCATCGAGTTTGCGGTTTTAAAGAAATACTTGAATGTAGAAATATAGAGCGAATGATAATAAAATATTACAGGATAAATATATCATTTATAAATTTATGGCATTCATTTTAAATTCGATGTCGCAATATTTGACATTATTGTTATTATATCCCCTGTTTATATTCATCTATAAATATGTTTCGCAATATTTAATTTTTTTGTCATTTCTTAAAAATAAAATGTAATTACGCTTTTTAATTATTTTCTCTAAAAAAAGTTAAAAGTTATTGATAAATGATAGACAAATTACATACTTTTTACCAATATGAAAAAAAAATTTGGTGCCACAACGGACATTTACAATATATAACTGTTCATTGAAATATTAATTATATCAAGAGATACGCTGCACGGTAAATCTAATATAATTGAAACGGCTATAAATTTTATTTTATTTCGAACATACTGCACCATACTTTAAAAGACTCTACAGCAGTTGTAACAGTAATATACTTCTCGCAGTATTTTCTTCCTTGATTCCTGAATGTAACGAGGTAATGGACCCTCCCGTGAGACATGAGTGTCCTTGTCGAGGAGCGAAATTTATGATTGGATCGCACTCCCGAAGCAGCACGGGGTACAGAGCGCGTGTTTATCCGTCGCGGACGCTGGTAAGTCTAATGGGGTGTAAAAGGGCCGAAGGTGTATATATGGCGAATGGACGAATGGGTCAACGAGCCGTGTACCGAAGGAGAAACAGGGCGAGAAAATGTGCCGGACCGAGCGAGGAAAAAGCGTTCGTACACCAATCAAATAAATCACTCATACTGCTACCTGGCCTTCCTCGCGGCTTTTTCTTCTCTATATAACATATTTTCTGCCGTGTGTCTCTTTCCGCCCGCGCAATGTAAATTACAACGTGAACTTTGGTTTCACGAGAACTCTACCTAGTAGAATTGATTTTTCCTGTAATTGTGTTTATATTTTTCACGTATTTTAATTGCTTTGCTCTGTAATCAAAGTCGGTAAAAGAGTGAGTAGATATCTTTAGCATGCTCGAAGAAGTGCACAAGCGACGAATGAATTTTTATCTTCTAAGCAGATAGCAAGAAAATTATAAAACTTTAAAACACACACGATATAATGTAGACAAATCTAAAAAGGCTGTAAATTTTAATATTTCGCAACGATGTCTAGAGCCGTTCGTAAGTACATTAACCGGAGATGCTGGGCTTTTTATTTCGCTTCTTCGAGAAGGATACACGGATGTTACGTCAGGGGCAGCGGTCCTGGTGAAATTAATTACAGGCCGTTCGCTATACGGAACATGGAAATAAACTTACCCGATGTTGTTAACGGAATGTTTTGCGCAGCTAGGAATTGCTTAAAAAAAATCTTCCGCACACGAAAGTAATGGACTGGTTTCTACCTTAAATTAAAAAACTACCGTTACAGAATTCCTAATTTGGTGTCTCAAATTAAATACGGTACAAAAAATTTTTTACGAAACACAGCTATTTTACAGTGTTTGTATAATCGAGATTTCTGATTTTAAAAAATTTATTAAATTGGGGACTCGTACAACTTACAATTAGATAAATAAACAATTAAAATTGGAATCGCATTTAAACCTCGGAAGAAAGCCCTGACAATTATTATTGCAATTCAAATCGTATTACAAAGGCCAATTTCCATAAATTCTGCGAAAAGCTTTTGTAGTGCTTTAATTGGATCTACATGGTCCAGTTAAAAGAAGTCTGTTAACAGTTAATATACACAATTGAGTCATTCGCATCCTGCACATTTCTTTTCTTCGAAAAACTAGCAGCATGCATCAAGTAATTGTACATTGGTATATAATTTTTTAAATACACAATTTTACAAATACTTTCTAAAGATGTTAAAACATATGCAAGGATTACTTAATAATTTTGTGGATATGAAGAATTATACTATCTATATATATTTTAATAATTTTGTATATTTGTTAAAGTAATGAAAATTAATCTGGAACACAAATGATCCATCGCATTAAACAGTTAAAAGGATCGGAAAATTATCGTGTATACTAAGAGTTAAGAATCATTAGGTGGTAAACTGGCCATCTCCAAAAAAAAATATAAAAATTTTTATAAGAATTTATTATGCAATGGCTTCCTTTTGTAAGCTTCATTTTTTAATTAAGAGATAAATAAAAAAAGAAAAGTTTTCGATTTATCTATATATTCTATATCAAACAAGTAATAAATTTTTTTATTAAATTTCATTATTCCCCCAAATATTTACAATATTATTATCATTCATAAAACCGTGTGTACGATGTCTAAATATGAGTGCAATGTATTGAATTAAAGTTCACAAATATTGCTAATAGTAAGCCCAAATAATTGCGGATCAGTCAGTTCCTTGCGAAAATATAAAGACCCGAGTTAGAACAGCTTTACATCGTAAATTTACATATTCAGCGAAAAATGACTCATTAAACTGATATCGAATCGACATCGATACGATGATTTCGACATCAAGTAAAATTAAATTAAACGTCGATTCGACATTAACTGCTTACATTTATTATTGGGTGATTACGTATCCACAATTATCATATATTAGAATTCGATAACAATTGTTATCTAGTTATTGAATTAGCCTCTTATTGTTACCTTAAATTTAAAATTTATTTAGTATGTAAGACTATATAATGTCATTAATTATTTGTTTTTTTTTAAATTGTAAATTGATAAAGATTTTGTGAGCCAAAACATATTACTTATTATATGCATATGCTTTCATTAGATTATTAAATGTATTTTAATCATTTTAACATCTAATTTGTTCGTCTCTTGGTAGCTTAAATTAAGTTATCATTGCTTTGCAAATTAACGAGCGTTACATTATTTTTGTTTATTAATTGACGGTTATTTCTCGCTGGGTATCGTGAGACAAATTGATGTAGGATAACTAACTCGAGCACGGATACTCGGACGGTTTTACTATGTTTTCTTGAAGGAGTATCGAAAGTTAGTGTGCGCAGCATGCGGCGCCGCGAAAACAAGCGACAGCCATCAGTATAAGTTCGGACAACTCAATTATAGAAAACTATGTTACGAAAATCAGTTTTTTCATAAGTCGATGTCACGGATAAAGTCGCCAGCACTTTCGGTTGATTTTACATGGCGAGGACATTACTCCGTTAGCTAAAATCCCGTTAAAACATGTCAAGCCAAGTGGAAACTCCCCAGAAGTGACGTTTTCATCAAAATCAGAGACACGCACGACATTTCAGAACAAGAAATACAACGTGGTTTTCGGACTTTCGTGCTTTCCAGCCACGAATAAACAGAAAGAAGCTCGCGTTCATGAGCAATGAAAAACATGGTCAGTTTAATGTCATTGTTTTTGTAGTTGCAAACTTGAAAGCGTTTTAAATAACAAAGAAAGTGCACATTTAAAATTATACAGATTTTAAATCTTAAGGTTCAAAAGTTATAATTTCGTATCAAATACAGATTATTTTATACAAAATACTTAGCTAAAAACAACAGTCGACTAAAAATACCTTAATAGAATGCTGATTCTTTCGGTTCTATTTGAATGAACAAGTTACGAAGACTTCTCGGGTGCCTTTCGTAATTAAACGTACACGGAAAATTGGAAAGGAGAATATGAGGACAAGTAATAAAGAAATTTTTGATAGAATCGATAAAAGTAGTTCAGATAGTAACATGCAAGGTTTCGGCGAAACCTTAAAAGACGAAGGGTTGACGATGGCTATAGCGTAAAATGAGAACGTGGATGAAGAGTCGAGAAACGCAGAGAAATGTCATTCTCATGAAGTAGATAAATTTTACGACGCATAGACTACGACCTCGTAAAAATGGTAACGACATTAATTCGGCGGTGAAGCACTGAACGTTAAAGCGTATTAACAGTCCGTATTAAGTCCGTTCGTGTATATCGCATATACGTGTATATATATATGGATACATATATATATATATATATATGTGTGTGTGTGTATGTGTATGTTATAGACTACGACCTCGTAAAAATGGTAACGACATTAATTCGGCGGTGAAGCACTGAACGTTAAAACGTATTAACAGTCCGTTCTAACAGTCCGTATTAAGTCCGTTCGTGTATATCGCATATACGTGTATATATATATGGATACATATATATATATATATATATGTGTGTGTGTGTATGTGTATGTGTGTGCGCATCGTGTCGTCACGAAGTTTTTCGATTTTAATTAAAGCTAGGAAACAATAGTCGTTCTTGAACGAGAAATTATTCCGATGTGTATTTTTATCATATTACTTTCAATTATTTCAACATGTATATAATATCCTTAAATCTTTAACATAGACAGAATAGTATGTTAAATGCTATTGGAACTTATTAAAAAAACATGGTAAGTTTAATATAAAATGTAATTATACAAGTATGTATTTTAAATTTAAATAATAAAACACTAAATAAACTAACAATAAGGCAATTTAAATAATTTTGGCATCATTGCTCCAATTAATATAATTTAAAATTTAAAAAGAAGCACAACATTCGATACATACATTTATACTCTTAAAGAAATATTCATTTTCTTTAATTAGTAAGTTCACAGTATTATAGCTATTACAAAATGGCAAGTATCAAGAGACTAATTAATTAATTCCATCATCAAATATTGCAATATCACATTTAATAGAAATATTAGATCTCTAAATAAACCACAGACAGTAACTACTACTTATTGCCTGTCTATTTCAACTATGAGGTAGTTTAGATGTGGAAACTAAATGGTTTAAATGTGGAAACTAAATGGAAACTATCCGCGTAGACATTCGATATTGGCGGAAAGCCACGGGAGTCGATTAACGAACGAGACCTCATCGTTCCGAGTTACATAGGAAGCTATCAGATGATCCCGTTTTCTAGAATATTGTCGTTTATTAAGTGGCATAATTTTCTCCCCTGAAAAACGTCAAAATGCGACAAAGAGAAACGTATTACAAATAATAGTCCTTTTGATTTATAAGTAGATATTAAATTACAAATAATAGTCCCTTTGATATATAAGTAGATATTAAATGTAGGTTCCACGGACAAAAATTCCAGACTTTTGTATGTGGAAAAATCTACGATTGGACCTCCATGAAACTTGATAAATTCATAGATAGGATATGTTATATATTTTTGCAACAAAAAGTACATATAATATCCGATATCATTTCCGAATGCATAAAAATAAGGATAACATTATAGACGTCATATTATAATTTACGTATTAGCAGAAATATTTTGCATATTTAAAAAACTTCACATTTTTCTTCAAATATAAATCTTGTTCAACTTTCATGTGCGTATTCTAGTTCTCAAATAAAATGAAAATTATTAGAATAACAATTAACACAAAATTAATTAATTTTAGTTAAATTAGAACTGCCAAATATGTATATGTGTGTATACGTAAAATTTAAATTATTTATCAAATCATTATATTTATCTATTTTATTTCAGGTGATATAAATAAAAAATGTCCCATATGTAATCATAAAAGAATTCACAAGTCAACGATCAGTGTACTGCTAATAATATTTATATGCACCATCCACTTTTCCTATTTATTAGTCTTCAATTTCTATTATCCTGTTTGCTTCAAATTAAGTAAATATAAAATAAAATAGGTGTAAAATAAATACATCAAAAATTTCATTTACTGTTTTTGCAACAGTTTATCTCTTAAAGTTAATGTAGTTAGTAATGGAAAAATTATTCTCAGATATTCATAAAAACTTTAGTAACTTATTGTACAAACAGTACATGTCTGTGTCTAGTAAATTTTAAATGACTTGTGCAAATGACATTTATTTCTGTCAATTCGTTTCATAATTTTTTTTTATTTTAATTTTCTCTCGCTTTAGATTATAGGAATAATAGACTGCAGGAATAACAGACTGGTATATTGTCCATATGATCGTTTAGTTTTCAAAAGAATTTCCATCAAGGTTGAACGTAAACGTAGCGAAATATATACATTGAACTGTCAATCAAAAAAAGAACAGAATGCGTTTTTCACTTGAAAGGTCAATTTTTTAAAAATGAATCATTCTTCTTTTATTATCTTGTCTGAAATTAAACTAAATAACAGAATATGATATGTTTTATTGATAAGATTTAAAAGTTCGTTGCACAATAAAAAGTCAGATTAAATTACATCGATGATAAAAAAAATAAAAAATTTGTAAAATGATATTGATCCTGACAGACATCAATTAGATAATTCATAGTACAGACTATAACAATAATATCAAATGTAAATTCTTAATTTATCTGCATTGTAAATAATAATGGAAATTTAAAGTAAAATTCTTCTATGTATAGATTATATCATTATACATAATATCTTGAAAACTTAATTTGGGTTAATTACATATCTTCATTCAATGTTAATAGTAATATAACGACTAAACTTACTTCTAAGTGCTCAAATTTTGAAGTTCATCGCTAATTAAATTATTTACATGCAAGCTTAATAGAAGACATATACTGTTTGTACAGGTTATTAATCTTTTTGAATATTGAAAAAGAAAGACGAAGAAGAATGAGGAGAAGAAAGAAGAGGAGAGATTTTATCCAAACATCTCTCGGATAAAGCTGTTGTCGTAGCATGTCTAGGAGAAAAGCGATCGTGGCAATCGATTCTCGGACGCCCCTCATGATTCAAATTTCGGCCTGACAATGAGGAGAAGTTATCGTTCGCGTATTGCGTTAAGCGGTATTTATAACTCTCTGCAGAGTGGCTCTAAATTTCTGACGAGAAGCCAAGAGAATGAAGCCATAGTAATGAAGCCATTACCTTGGTATTACCTTACATTTGCAAGCAATCAAAGTTGTTCTAAACTTAATATCGATCATAGGCGCATTTAAATCATACACAAAAATGTCAGACGTCAACTATTTCATCCAAACACATTCTCTTTCGTTCTTTATAAATACAATTTATTTATGAAGCCATTACCTTGGTATTACCTTACATTTGCAAGCAATCAAAGTTGTTCTAAACTTAATATCGATCATAGGCGCATTTAAATCATACACAAAAATGTCAGACGTCAACTATTTCATCCAAACACATTCTCTTTCGTTCTTTATAAATATAAATTTATTTATCTGTTCATTTAGTACATCATAGATGTCCAGTCAAATTCGGTATGGATTTTTTGCGTAAAGTATTTATATCTAATAAAAATATTATATATTCAAAGTATTGAATTTTTAACGTTGAAAAAATGAAGCTACTAAACTGGAAGTATCAAATAGATGAAAAAATACATTAATTAATATTTTATTTATAATACCTATTATTTCTCTCTTTTTCTTTTTACTACATTTTTTAACAAAAAGTTGTAATTGTATAGCTCCCTTGTTACAAAATTTTAATTCAATCTCAAAGTTTTTAGACATAAATAAGTGTAATATAATCATCAAGACTATCAATTTGCGTACAGTTTCCCAATAAAACCAATTCTCTCGGAATACGTGCAACCTGCGTTTGCATTGCCACACAATCGAAGATCTCTCTTGCGTTTGCTGGTCGTAACAATTACGTCTTTATTAACCACGGGGACCGGCTGAAACGACCAGAAACGCTGGCCGCCAGCGGTTCTAATTAGCACCACTACAGCGAATTACTGGCGTGCGGAATTTCGCCGCTAAAACGCGCCCAGGAAAACATGGAACGGCACTTTTCTGAGAGATCCCAAAACGCCCGCAGCGGTGATACGACTGAAATCGCGTTGCGCAGCAAAAAATTACCCCTGACAACTCGTGGCAATCGTACTTCGTTCTCCTCCTCGTTCTTTTTGTCACGTCCGTGTCTTCATGATTATCTCCTGGCGCCTCCATATCGCAGTTGCTTTTTATGTAATAGCGCGCAGATTAATGACGACAACTTTGTCGTTTGTTAATTACATATTCTTTTATTTTTCAAAATTATTGAATATGAATTGACGTATAATGAAGGTAACTTTATTGAATGAATATTTCAGAAGTAAAATTGTATTTTAGTATTAATTTTGAAAATTAAAATTGTTTTTCACGATGAGTATTCGATTAATCAATAAAATATTAATTGTGCTTTTAATGTGTAAATTATATAATGCAAATCAAAATTACATGTTAAAAAATAGCTGGTGCCATCTTATTTTAATATTAATGGGACATTAATCTAATTTTCAATATTTAAAAATTAATTTCCTCGTAAATAACTTATTCAACGCAAACTAAAAGTAATACAACATCAAGTTATAATTTTGTACTCAATATAAATGTAAAATTACACGTGGTTACATAACAGTTACATCATTGTGAGTACAAAATAATGTTATGTTAATTTTAGTTGATGTTAATTGGGTGTTTAATTAATTTCATTAGCTCATCAATTCCTAAACACAGATAAAAAAATTATGTGAGTTAATTATTAATTTTCAGATTTTACATAACAAATATTAATTTAGATTTATCTTTTTTCATTCAATTACATAATAACAATATGTATGAATATATATGTATGGTAAAATGATGAAATATGTATGAGTATATATATAGAGAGAGAAATAATTTGATTTATGTACAGCTTAAAAACTTTTCTTTAAAAATTTCTATGAAGATTCAATTTTAGAAAAATTTAGAAACTGTTGTATCAAATTGACAATAGCAACATGCATCATTCAACAGCTGTTAAAGCTAGTATTATATGTATAGCTTCTAATAGGACATATTATAAGATACTTCATTAGTAAACAATATAATCAAACTCACATATCAACTAGAATTATGTCAGTTGCAATTAAATTATCAACACCATAAATAAAAATTGGACTCACCATAGAATACCTCATAGAATAAAACCTCATAGAATAAAACAGCATCCCGAAAAACTGTAAATGTAAGAAAAGCTGTTTAAGATGTGTTACATACATTTACGAGGGAATATCTAGTTATTATAATCTCAATACTTTCAGTAATTAGCAGGCATTCCTACAATCCTCTGTTATTATATAATGCACTTACAATTTTAGTACAGACGATGATGGTTTGTCATCACCGAAGGGAAAGACAGATTATACCAGAATTAGTGCGATTTATTTATCCAACTTTACCCAGCATTTACGAAATATTATTCGACTTCCGAGAACTTATTTGGCATTTCCGAGATTTTATTCGATGTTTCGGGTTTCGGCCATGGTGGAAAACACAGAACATGGTGGAAAAATCGCAAACGATCGCGGAGCAACTTCATACTATCAATGAAAAGACAGATTCGATCGAACGACTTTACATCGCGTACGTTAATTAATGCATAATGACGGTCACCCGTGATCTCATTCGATGTTCCTGAGACATTATTCGATATTAGCAGCACTTATTCGCCCGAATGAATCACTTGGAGTAATTGGACACATAAAATCAACGGAGCTATCACGTTTCACCTAACGACCACCGCGGCGCGAGACTATTACAAGATGGCGCGCAATTGACAGGAAGCGAACCTAAAGGCCGATATTGATAGTCAGTGCTTATAGGTATTTAAGATGATCTTAAGTACAATCTTGAGATGCCATAAATCAATCTCACAGAGCTGTATTAGCGTCATAAGACATTTATTAATAGACTGTCTACAACAGGAGTACTATCGTGTAGTAATGCCTTAAGCTGTATGAAATTGACCAATCATAGATTATTTTCTTAACATTTGATTAACTCTGATTGGTCAATTTCTTACGGCTTACAATTATTACACCATGGGTACGTTTGGAAAGACGCTATTAACGCTATTTGCGTCATTCTATCTTCATCGTTCATTAAACGTAAAACAAGGATAGAATTATGTAATAGCACTAATATAGCGTCTCTCCGAACGCATCCCATATTTTACTCCAATTGTGGACAGTTCTTAATTTAGAACGATCTTAAAATAAGGATAATACGGATTAAACGGAAAACCGTTCCAAACAGACCTACTGATTTATGAGCAAGATTTATCCAATCAATCACAGTTAAGGCACTATAAACGTGAGTATTCGCATCCGCCATTTTTACTCCTTTTCTCACTCTCTTGCTCCTTTTCTCAATTCCTTGCTCTCTCTCCATTCCGCCGCTAAACTAAGAAGCTTGAAGAGAGAAGAGAGAAGGTTGAAGAGAGAACAAACAAACAGTGTGGAAAGGAGTAAAAATGGTGGACGCGAATACCTACGTTTCTAGTGCTCTATCACAGTTTACGTGATCATAGTTGTCGCCTCTCTCCTATAGGCTCTCTAACTCTAGCGCGAGATATTCAATTGATTGTACATCGATGCTATGCCAAGGGCTCTACTCTTCAAGAACGATTAGCGTTCTGTATGTACACCTTAATAATCCAGATACACATAAGTACAGGATGTAAAATATCTTTTGCTAAAACGTCTTATGTCTCGTTTTTAGACATGTGTATTATCTGGGTTGAGGTACAGAACGCTAATCGTTCTTTTAAAGAGTTCTTGCATCTTTTCCACGTCTTTAAAATGTTTTATGTCCCTAATTTTAGAATTGTGTTATCTAACAATGTTGTACAGGTATACTGTTTATAATTATATTGTTTTTTTTCCCCATTAACAAATCATCATTACAATGTTAATAATTGCGACTATTTAATTCTTCATCGGTAAGAAGAATTTGAACTCTTCCGTCAATAATAGGAATCTTCGAAAAATAAAGCAAAATTTTTTTATTATTCCGGAATATAAAAATCTAAAAAGAATTCTGGTACACTTGACAAAATTTTAACAAGAAATTTTTACTGTCGTAGAAGTCAGACTGTACTTCATTTATTTTAAAAAATTTGAGTTAATCTATCAAAATTCACAATCAAAATATCAATGATGCCTTTAAAGACCTTAATCGTTTGCGAAGGGTTAAAATAGATTATAGTCATTTTAAATAAATATTGAGCAGCTCATGCTGTTGATTCTTTCGTTTTTTAACTTTTCGTATCGCAGGCCTTTCTCATGTGATATCTTTACAGTTATTAATTGCATTTCGGAAAAGGAGATTAAATTGAGATAATCGAGAAAAATCTCATCTAACTTTCATGATTATTCACAATATTTGGGCAATGATATTTTTTCATGAAGGTACATATATGTGTAGTCGATTTCGACATCGTTTATAAGAGCGTTTATGACGCAGATGGAAACATGTATATGCCTACTTAGAAACGTTAGTGGCGGATCCAGACAGCACTTCCGGCAAACAACGGAGCAGCAACTTGGTATAAACGCGAAGCGACTTTGCAACAATACATTCGGCTTAATCGGGCACAACAGCGCGTTTCGCATAGGTACTTGTATATATCCAACAGCGAGCTTAACTGTACGTTCGTGAACGTCGAATATACCCTCAGTTCTCTCTTCTCCTTCCATGCAAAATCGTGAAAGACGAGCCACTTTAATCCTTTGCAAATCTTACCACATAATAAATATGACATGATATAATTGAAAGATGTAGAAATCCTTCATTTTTCAAGATTTGTGGAATAAAAACGTCCCTCATATTTGCGGATTTGTATGATTTTCCTGGATTTCTTTAATAGAAATAAAAATATTTTCCATGTTAGTTTTATTTCTTTCACATTAATTTTAAAAAATGAACAAGATAAGATAGCTTTATAGATGTATCTTGCATAACAATTGCGAGATCAAATGGAAATTCTGGCTCGAGAGAGATCCTTTAAGCGTTCTACATGATACAGGATCCACAATGATTCATTATCAAACAATAGAGTGGCGAACGGAAGAGAAAGCGATTTGAAGGGTGTGACGTACATTAGGGAGACACAACTCCTATTCGCAAGACTTCGATTACTAGATTTACCGAATGCTCCATTCTATCTATGAGATTCTAACGTCTAGCTTTCAACTGGGTTACCCTATTCCCGTGAAATCCAATTCGATCATTGTTCAGTTACAGAACGCAGAAACAGTAGCAGTATGATATATTCCCATGTTCTGATACACTAATTAGTATTGTTAGACAGTGCAACAGTTTCAATAGGCTCATGATTTTCAGAAATATCTTAAAATTTGCTTTATTTAACCCATTATTTGCAATCTGGATTTCTTTTTAACACAATCAAACATTTTCAAATTAATTCTTAATTTACTTTCATTTTGTTCAAATATTCATTTTTACTAAACGTATTAGTTAAAAGCGGTAATAGAGATGTTAAAAAATAACTCTGAATTTTTGTTGAAAACTTGAAACAGCAAAACACTATAGGCTGCTGGATAAAAATGTTCAAACGGAAAAATATATGTTTACCGAGAGTGTTGAAAGATTAATATAAGTTTTATTCTTAAATTAAAAAATTTTATTCAAAAATCTAGCTTTGCTAAGTCATTGCAGCTTTTTTATTAAAAATATCGAAAGCTTGGATACTTTCATTGTAATGGTTTCTAGGAGAATCAAATTTTGTTTGGCGATCCAATATGTCTATTATTATAACCATATCCTCTAATCATTAAGCGGTATTCATAGTCCGTCCTTATATCAAAACTGTCTTAAGTAATATTTTAAGAAGCTAATACGACGATTTGTGGCCGATATTCATAAGATCGCGGTATTCATAGTTGGACTTTGTATTTAAGACTGTCTTAAGCCGGTTCTACATTAGTTGCAAGCTGATCGTAAGTTGCGACAGCCAATGTGAAGCATCGATTTCAAAATACAAGCTTCAGATTGGCTGTCGCAACAAACTTGCGATCAGCTTGCAACTAATGTAGAACCGGCTTTAAACAATCTTAAGTATAGTTTTAAGAAGTCACGAACCAATCAGAGGGCTGTATTAGCGTCTTAAGACATTACTTAAGACAGTTTTGAAATAAGAACTGATTATGAACACCGCCTTTTGATTGATTCGTGACATCTTAAAACTGTACTTAGGGCGGTCTTGAATATAAAAATTGATTATGAATACCAGCCTTTGATTGGTTTATGACATCTTAAGACTACTTAAGCCAGCCAAATACAAGAATCGACTATAGGTCTGTTTTTTATTGCTGCACTTTCTAAATTGGTACACACAGTGCAATAAGATGAAGTGAAACAAACGTATATTTAGGCTTGTTTTTTTTAGCTAAATTTTTGCACTTCCTTTTCTCTTCAGGAGGAAAAAAGAAGAAGAAAGATGAATTGGTGCAAAAGTTCAGCCAAAAACAACAGGCCTTTTGTTTCACTTCAACTTATATTGCACCGGTACAGAGTACAGCAATAACAATCTTCAGTTGGCAGCGTCGGAAGTAAAAAACAGACCATATGAATACCGGCCATTAATAACCTAACCTTTTCTATTTCCACGTGAGCCAATCAGCGCGCGCGATTCGGATCACGTGACGAATAGGCGACTTTCCCTTCTAGTTCGTTGCGAATCAACGACGTGAAGTTGTTCGTCGGTCAACCGACGCCGTCAGCCATTTTAGCAAGTTGGTTTCTGATCTTGTTGCGTCAAAACCGTGTCGCGAATCGCGAATTGTGAATGCCAAAAACGCGAAAAGGCGAGGAAACGTTCGGAATCGCCTTCCCTACAGTAAGCGAATGCTATTCGCTTTGAATTGAGAAGGAGCAAGGAAACGCATTTCGAGAGCTAGTTTTGGTCGCAAGCGAAGTTGTTTGAATCGTGTCGGAATTCGGAATCGCGATGATCTTTTTCGGATCCGTTATCGAAAATATTATTTCGTCGCGTTGCGCTGAAAAGAAAACCCAAACGCGGAAATTATGCGATCGGGAAATTCGCATCGTCGCGAAGTTATATGACGTTTCCGAAGCGAGATATTTCGGGTAATGAGCGATCGCCGGCAAGTATATCTTCCTTTTTGTGCAATGTCGCTTCGAAGGGAATGTGGCGGAGTATGGGATGCAGAAAACGACTACCGATAAAAATTTCCCGGTCTCACTGGACATCGCTCCAAAATGAGAATAACTCCGTGGACATGGACGTGAACGTCAAACACGATCAACGAGAGACTCGTACGTTGCGCGGCACCCCGGTTGCAATTGTCACGACAATGGTGAGTGTCAATTCCGAACAAAAATGGTTCAATTTAATGGAGTACGCAGTAAACATTAAGTTACATTGAAAAAAAAAAGTTATATCAGCAGCGTTATTTTAATGGAAAATAATTTTGCTGACATAAAATTTTATTAAAACAAGAGAATGGAGTATGTTTCATTTACCCTTAGTTTATACAATGATTTTCCAGTCTTTTACTACACACGATGTGAAAGAGTTATTCGTGTTTCAAGTTAATTTTCATCATTTCAACAAATATACAAAATTATTAAATGATGCTTACATATACTTCAACATCTTTAGAAAATATTTTTAGGGTTTTTGTATTTTTTTTATATTTTGTAAT